CTCTTGGGTACTATGAAGTGGGGTCTCTAACTCGTTTATCAAAAAAAGCACGCCTAACTAAAAAAAAAGACCCTACCGAAAAATTTAAGTGCCAAATTAACGAAAGGCCTGAAAGTGAACGGCATGGGTGTGGCCCATGACGGCCCGGTGACGGTCTCAGCGACAGAGGCTAGGGAGATGCCATAGCTATGGAGATGCTATGGAGATGCCAGTTCAAGCGCTGCTTGTAAGGCTTCGCGCTTGGGCTGGCGCTGCCGCGTCTGGGTGCCAGCAGTGCTGGTTCTTTTCGGGCTTGTGTTTTGTGTGTGATTGTGCAGCTTCTCGCTGTGCCACGGTGCGCTGTGTGCCTGGAGGTTTAGCTTGATCCTGCTTTATTTTGCTTGAGGCACTTTTTACCTTCTGCCAGTAAATCCACTACTTAGCAGAAAGCACCCCAGTGGTGTCGAGCTCTCCGGAGGCACCCGACGTCACAGGCGGCAGTGAGGGCCCGGATGGAGAGCGGCCTCGCCAGCTCCGCGCCGATCGTCGGCGCCACTCTGGATGTTTCCCCCAGCGGAGCTGACGAAGCGTCTCCGTCCCTCACTGTGACGTCGGGTGCCTCCGCTAGCGAGGAGGACTACCTCGAGCGGTACCGTGTTCCTGTGTCCTGAGCCTCCCTCCGTCCGCTGCCCCAGGCGGACCCCCGGGCAACGCCGGCGGCTCCTCGTCGGCGGCTGCCCTTTCTCCGTCCGCGGCCGCCCGCTTTGTGGCGGCAGCGGACGTCTCGACTGACAGTGGTCAGTCACGGTCGGCTGCCTCCGGGTATCGCGTCTAAGGGATTTTATTCCTCCTGCATGCTCCTGCTGCTGCCAGTGTTGCTTGATTGCCTGACCCTTCGGCTGCTTGTCTGCGCGGCTTCGCCGCGCTTGGGCTGGCGCTGCCGCGTCTGGGTGCCAGCAGTGCTGGTTCTTTTCGGGCTTGTGTTTTGTGTGTGATTGTGCAGCTTCCGAGTCGCCGCTGTGTGCGCTGTGTGCCTGGAGGTTTAGCTTGATCCTGCTTTATTTTGCTTGAGGCACTTTTTACCTTCTGCCAGTAAATCCTATGCTGCTGTGTGCCCGGAGGTTTAGCTTGTTCCTGCTTTGGTTTGCTTCAGGCACTTTTTACCTTCTGCCAGTAAATCCATTGCTGATCGGAGTCGAAGACCTCCGGCTGCCAGTAAATCCATTGTCACGAGTCCGCCGGGAGAGCTCGACACCACTGGGGTGCAGTGCTTGCTGCTGGTCCGAGGCTCGCCTGCTTCCTACCCGGCATCGGTCGGGTCACGCCGGTCAGGCTTGAGCATTCAGCGGCTGCGGCGTCGCCGCCGTCACGGGCGGTGTTGGCCCTCGGCCCGTGACGCTAGGCTAGCGGCGAGGAGGACTACCTCGAGCGGTACCGTAATCCTGTGTCCAGCCTCGGGCCTCAGCCTCCGCCCGCTGCCCCCGGGCGGAGCCCCGGGCAGCGCCGGCTCCTTGTCGCGGCGCCGCTGCCCTTTGCGTCTAACGGATTTTATTCCTCCTGCCGCTCCTGCTGCTTGTTGCTTGATTGCTTGACCCTTCGGCTGCTTCGATGCCTGGTCTGCTGACGGTTGCCAGCAGTGCTGGTTCAGTTTTCGGGTTTTCAGTGTTTTGTGTGTGTTTGTGCAGCTTCTCGCTGTACAAAACCCGGACTCCGGGTGACCGTACCCGGGCCGTAGTACGGTCCGATCGCCGGACTCCGAGTCGGCGAATGCAACAACTCAGAGTGTAACATTGAAATCCTATAGCTAATCCATTATTCAATACTGTGGATTTACTGGCAGAAGGTAAAAAGTGCCTCAAGCAAAACAAAGCAGGAACAAGCTGAACCTCCTCACACAGCGCACAGCGAGAAGCTGCACAAACACACACAAACGAGGATCCCCCACCGTCACGGGCGGCTACCGCTGACTCGGCTACCGCTGACTCGGAGGCTAGCGAGGAGTAGTGGTATAGGATGAGGACTACCTCGAGCGGTACCGTGTTCCTGTGTCCAGCCTCCCTCCGTCCGCTGCCCCAGGCGGACCCCCGGGCAACGCCGGCTCCTTGTCGCGGCGGCTGCCCTTTCTCCGAGTCCGCGGCCGCCCGCTTTGTGGCGGCAGCGGACGTCTCGACTGACAGTGGTCAGTCGGCTGCCTCCGGGTTATAGGATTTACTGGCAGAAGGTAAAAAGTGCCTCAAGCAAAACAAAGCAGGAACTTAGGGTATCGCGTCTAAGGGATTTTATTCCTCCTGCATGCTGTCTGCGCGGCTTCGCGCTTGGGCTGGCGGTGCCGCGTCTGGGTGCCAGCAGTGCTGGTTCTTTTCGGGCTTGTGTTTTGTGTGTGTTTGCCTGGAGGTTTAGCTTGATCCTGCTTTATTTTGCTTGAGGCACTTTTTACCTTCTGCCAGTAAATCCACTGTCACTGTATCGATGACGCTCTGTGCGCTGTGTGCCCGGAGGTTTAGCTTGTTCCTGCTTTGTTTTGCTTGAGGC